TTTTGTGAGAATTTATTTGAAATACAAAATTTCAGTAAATTTATGTGAAAATCTATGAAAGAAAGTGAATTCAATGTTTCGTTCATTTAATAGAATATATGAAACAAAACAATATAAACATTGCGTTGATATTTGCAAAAGATTTTTAGATTTACTATAACTTTAATAAAATGACTTTTGACTCAAACTTCACAAAAATGTCTTAACTTACGACAGAAAATATTCTATATATTATATTAGAAAAACTAGTGAATGCTTTAGTATTGGATTTATACAACAAAAATACTAATATTCTATAGATATATAATACATTTGTAGCATTTGTTATGCACAGCACTTATATAACAAATAAGTTTCATAAAAACAAGAATTACACATATATATTACGGTAAATATATGTTTGCATTCAATATTATTTTGATCATTAATCTTAATTTACAAATTAGCATATATTTAAATTCAGTTTTTGCATTTAATTCTTCATTACCTCTAAGGATATTTTGCTTTAAAACATAATTCAACAAATTATTAACAAACTTTTGCTAATTACTACACCAATATTTACTATAAGATGGATACAGAATGTGTTTTAAATGACACCATATTATTAACTTAATTATATTCATTCAAAATGCACAAATAATTTTTGGGAAATTCCCTGCAGAAGATTGTGGGCTATATTTACGGGAAACATGCAGTCATTCTCTATGGGTTTCTCAATAATGTTATCCAATCGGCCAAATATACCCTCAAATGTCTGAGATCTCAATATTAAGAATAAAATATTTAGCAAATATTGCATTTTGTCCGTCAATTACATTCTCTACTTATACATGAAATGTAAGAGAAATTACTTTATGATATTTATTTTAACCATCATAATTCTACTTTATTGAGATAAAAAATGAAATAATAGTATATATTATTGTATTATTTGCCAAATATATGATTGAGTCCCACCCTTACGACTGGTCCTTTAATATATGGTTTGAAATACTTTCGCTTATTATATACAACAAACATAAACCTCTGGATTACAGAATATCGTATAACTCTTTACTTAAAAACGTTAATATAAATAATTACATCTCTTTTATAGCATTTATATTATACCGTAAAATACAAGACTAGTTATTTTAAAAATCAATTGATAGCATTTGAATTATTATAATAAACATTTAAAATTTAATGGCAGCTAATGCTGAATAATTAACATAAAATTAAGACATTTAATTGTCAAAACAAACATTAAAACTTTTAAGTTCTCGTTTTAAACAGATATTTCTTTAATGCAAATGAAGTCTAATTCTAAATGACATACATTTAGACAAAGCATTTCATTGCAAACTTTGCAATTTCTTATATATAAAATGCAAAATTTAAGTTCAACTTTTTATTTGTCAACTAATATTGAAATAAACAAGCATACTATTTTATGTTAATAAAATGTAGTGTATACTGTACACATAATTTGTTTTATAATAAAGCTATATAAATAGATGTGATAATTATGATATTTGTCTAAAAATTTGTTTTGTGATTTTATAGTAATATCTACTATAAAGTACTGAATATTTTTATATATAATGTTAGAATCATATTAGAAAAGTATTAAAATTAACAGAAAGTGCACATTACTAACAAAATAAGGCATCAAATATTTAATTGATTATTTAATCATTAATGAAATTATTGTAAAATTTTAAAAGAATAATATTTTTTTTATTTAATACACATTTGTTTCGGTATAATATAAACTGCATTTTTATGGCACACAAAGCTATAAAATATAGTGCTATAAAGCATTGGATCGATAAATTCGGTAACAACTGTGTAAGTAATGGTCGAATCTGGAGAACTGACATCTTTCCAAATGCCGGGCCAACAGTCAAAACGCTTTGTAAAACTTCGAGAACTTTACAAAAAACTATTGATTATTTTAATAAAGCCTTTGTTAAGAATGTGTGGCAGATAATGGGTGAATGCGCTATTTTCACCATGGCTAAATGATTGCTCGTAATTCTCGACACAATTATATAAATTTACAATGGTAATATTTGAAATTATTTTATTCGCCTTTAGTTTTATTATACAGATTGCCAACGCTTTTGAGGTTTTGAAGAGAAATCTATGTTTTGGAAGATATGCATTGAATGATAAATTGTTATAAAATATGGTTATCTGTTGTTTTTGAGAATTTTTTCTTTGATTCCTTTCATATGATATATGAAGCAATGCTCTCTTTATGTATATTTCAGTAGTTGTTTGTATTAACAAAATGAATAAAAAGTCAATTACTATTTTGTGATTAGATTTTATCGAGAATATGTTTTTTTAGAACATATTAAATATTAGTTATAGAAAAATAAATAAAAGATTATATAATTGAGTGAAAATAATGTGTTATTCAATGGTATAAATGAGTGAAAATAGACGGACAGACGTTAAAAGTGTATTGAATTTTTTGCCGGAGAACTATATAACAGATACAATAAATTAATGGATGTGCTGTTTGGGAGTCAACGCGCGTACGACTCCTATTCAATAGCTATAGTGAAGATGTGACACAAAACCAGAACATGATATTTGATGATAAAGTATTTCTTTTAAAACACACACAAAAAAACTCAAATTTGTTTCATGTTTGGCGTTATACTAATACAACCTCTTTTGCATTATTTAGAGCTCAAAATTTAATAAAATATTTTCATGAAATCAATGATTGTTGTTAAAGAAAAGGGAAGAGTTTTTTGCTCATGAATTTATTTTTTTCTTTGTTCTACAATATCTAAGTTTCCAAAAATACAATTTTCAATATTTGTAAAATATGTTGTATTGATATCTCATTATATTTGAGTTTTTGGTAATGTATTACACGAGACAATCATTTAAGAAGATAACTATTGGTTAATTAAAATTGTGAAATAGCTTTGATTTACGAACAAAAGACTAAAAATATAAACTATTCTCTATTTTATATCACTTAACGAGAAGTCCACATAAAATCTTTATATTGATAAATATTTTGCTTATTTTCCAATAAAATTAAATCAAAATGACATTAAATAGCAATAAACGGCAATTTAATTACAAAATAGTGAGAAATCTAAAAATAAATGGCACAAAAATAATGGTTTTAATTTAAGTTAAAAATTTTAATGGGCGTTAGTTTGATTTGTTAAATATTTAAATAAACAAAATTACTATAAATAATATATAAAAATAATAATTTTGAATACATAAATGTAATTTAAGACATTATAACACATAATATGTGTTATTGGCATTACATCGAAGTACTGCAGGAAAGACATTTGAGCCCCCATTTGAACAATAATGACATTACGTTATTATTTTTAAAGTTAATATTTATCACATTTTATTTCAATTAATTTTTATTTCAAAATATAATATTATACTTGTGTAGAACATTACTTTAGTTCTATCATATAATTCACCATAATACCCTTTTCAACATTTCAAAGTTGCATTTTAGCAAAATATATTATTATTTTTATACAACATTATTATAACTGTAGTATAAAAGGACTGACTTTTGACATTTAATATATTGTAAATTATCTTTTTTTATTTGTTTATTTATGAAAAGGGAATAAAACTGATGTTTTTATTGATCAAAAATTTGAATGAATAATAGATTTGCATGTATTTTCAAAATAAATTTACTTAATTGTAAAAAAATCATTACAAAAATACAAAATTAAATCGAAATCATGAAATGCCGAGTGAATGGAATATAATTAGGGTTGAAATTATTTCTTGTAAATTGGGATTTCATTACTCGACTTACTGTAGACTTGTTTATAGATATAGTATAGCGTCTAAGACTGCAAATGAATGGTAAGCCGTTATGACAGGTGAAGAGATACCTGTAATGCCAAATGTATTCATAATTGGATGTCATCGTTGCACACGTTATCAATCAAAACAGATGCCACGGATGACGCCTGCGCTCACATTCACTCTACTCATACTGTAATATAATGTTCTAATAAACAGATCTCAATCCCTGTCCTCTTATTTCAACTTTTAAACNACTCTACTCATACTGTAATATAATGTTCTAATAAACAGATCTCAATCCCTGTCCTCTTATTTCAACTTTTAAACTCTAATCCAAAGCATAACATTTGGACCAATTATTTCTTTAAACCTACAATTCTTACGACTGTGTCTATGAATTAACATTAAGTTATTGTTAATTTAGAAGTCGTGAACGTTTATTGTAAAAAATATTTTAAAAATTATAAAATAATTGAATTAATAATTCATCCAAAATATTAAGTCTCGCTGAGAGATAACGAGTTTTATTATGATTTAAAATGCAAATTATATGTGAAATGAGAGATGGAGAGAGAAAAGTGGAGAATAATATGTAACTCAAGTTTCAGAGACTCACATATTATGCATTTCATATGCTTTTGTTGTATTGAGTGAAACACGCTTTTAGTCTAAATAGGATAGAGAGTACGGGTTTGTGCGGAATATAATATATGCTGCGATATATACATAGATATATAAAGTGAACTGAACTGAACTGTAGTACTGCTGTGTATAGTGTGTTCGCAGCCCTCGTGTGTTACAGCCGGTGCTCTACAATACTCTGTAAGCTCTGTTGCATTGGTTTTGTCGGTTCAGTATTCGTGTATTGCGCTGAGAGGCAGCTGTGATGTGCTGTGTTGTAGAGTACAGTTGCTGGTCGTGTGAGTGCCAGGCCTGCCATATATAGATAACTATAACTTATTATTATATATTTTTGTGCTCTTATTCTCATATTTTTTGTGCCAATACTCCAGTGCTCTGACACTAAACATCAGACAATTACTATAAAAGGGATATCATTAGAGCAATCAATGGCAACATTACATAATGGCATAGATGGTGGTCAACCAACAATTCTTACCACTATTCGCATATCAAATGGTAATCTACAGCACTCTTCAGACCTGATTCCGGCCAAAGAACACGACGCCATCAAACTCTTCGTCGGACAGATTCCCAGAAATCTTGACGAAAAAGACTTAAAGCCTTTGTTTGAACAGTTCGGCAAAATCTATGAACTAACTGTCCTTAAAGATAAATACACGGGAATGCATAAGGGTTTGTATTATACATATATCTACTCTTTCCATACACTATAACATCACTCCTATCACTGCCTTCACTGTCAACACATTACCATTCATATCAAACATCACAACCAAATCATATTCACTCTAATGTTCTATTATGTTATCCACTCTTATATTGATGCCTCTCTTCACCTCATTCTCTCTCTCTCTCTCTCTCTCTCTCGTCTCTATCTCTGGTCTTTATATCTCTCGCTCTTTACCTATCTTTCTCTCTATCTCTCAGTCATTCTCATCTCTTTAAACTATATTTAAAGCATTACATAACGTGAGAACTCATGTGTTGAAGTCAGTGAATATTATTGTGAATTTAAAATCAATAAATTATTTAATACATGAAATACGGAAAACAATGATAGAAAACAGATAAATATAACAATTGATAATTAAACTAAACATAAATTATTAATGAAGTCTATATGTATTGAGATATAATACTGTAATAGCATTTAGACTATTATGTGAAATGAAATAAAAGTCTAAATTAAAAGTAGCGTTGAATGGATGGATATATGCCTCACTTGAATACAATGATCTCAATCCAAGTCCTCCATCACTGCTCACTCATGCCATGGCGTCATCACATGTGACGCAACTCAAGCCCTATCTTCACAACTCAACACATTATATACATTCAAATCCATTGCTTTTCTATAGTTTGCATTCATCTTATCGTTTACCAGATTATGATTATTACATTATCGATAAAAATGCAGACAAATATTTAAACAAGTTTATAAATAAATATAGCCTATTATTAATAGGAATATTACAAATAATTAGACTTTTTAAGTGCGGATATAATCAATACCGATATGAAACAAAATTTTTTAATTAAATTAGTGTTAGAATTATAAAATTAGAGAAAGTATTCACATAATTGTTGAAACATTGTTAGCATAGCATATGAGTGGAGATATAACACGAACCCAAACCAACCAAATGGAAAATTAAACATAAAATATTAATGTATATAACCGTACATATGATTGCCTTTGGTTCAGACCCTCTCTTAACTAACATTTAATGCATTATATAATAAAAATTTAATACTATTTTATTCATATCATACTAAAACGTGACAAAATTTTCATAAATGAATTATTAACTCCTAATAATTATCATCAGTTGTTTTATTTTAAACATCAACACAATATTCAAATATACAATGCGTTCATTTTTAATTGATTTTTCACTCATTACTAAATGAAAATCAATTGTATTTCATTGATTAAATTATCCCTTTAACCAACAAATCATTGCAAATATTCACTGTATATATAAGTGCATAAAAATAATCTTTTTTATGTATAATTTTATTAATTATAAAAATATGGCGTAAGATATCATTTAATGTCAATATATGATGGTTTAGTTATGTTTCACTCACACATCTGTTAATCATTCAACAAAAACAGTTGAATAATAAAGCGATATATCGTTAAATATTTTTACTTTTATTTCTGTTTCAATGTAATGATAAAAACAAAACAATATTTCCAGACTAATGGAGTAAAATATTAATTAATTATTATCTGAGATATTAATACACTGTATTGATCGATAGGCTGTGCGTTTTTGACCTACTGTTGCCGCGACAGTGCATTAAAAGCACAGAATTCACTCCATGAACAGAAGACTCTGCCCGGGGTAAGTCATTGAATACACTTATTTCATACACATGTACTTTCCATCACTTATGAAGAGCTAAACTATTAATTTATGCAATTTAATTATTTCATTAAATGTACCATTATTGTTACAATTAAATGCAATTTGCAACATCATATGCTTGCCCAATTATTTCAGCGCATATACTGTAAGGTACTGTTCGTTGTTTTAATATAGTTGTTTGTTGGAACTAATTTGAACATGATTATAAAAGTTAAACATTTGCAATTGTTTTATTCAAAATTTAACCCAATAGAGAAAGAGTCAAAGAGTGCTTTTTATACTGTATATGAAATCTACTTAACATTCATTAAGAGTTTAATTTAACAAAATTTTGGGTAAAAAACGGATAATTAGTTAAACTAAGAAAACAACAGAGAAAAAAATGAATGTTGTGTAAAGAGTGTGGGCTTAATGTTAACAATTATTATGGATAAAGTGACTCAAAGAATAAAATGAAATTATAATCTGATTGTTAGGCTGAGAGACAGGAACAGGTGGTTTGACGTCTCTGTTTGGATCAATCGTTAATTTAGTAATGCATTCATTGCATCTGTTTTGGTGCCGATAAGCGATTGTAAGCAAACAATAAACTTGTTTTTAAAGCATAAATATTATAGGAATTAAAAAGTTTGAATGAATTGCAAATATTGCAGGCATTGTCGCCATAATCACAATCACATACTGGTCTACCATTCGCTCTCTTTAGACGCATTTTACCCAATAATTTGCAAACAATGTCCACCTCTGAGGCTAACAATTGCTATTCAATATAATTATAATTTAATATTTTACTTGATTTTGATGTGTTTTTCTTTTATTATTGCGTTACTTTCATAAGTCTAGTGTATATACAGTATATACACAGTATATATTATATTTATAGATGTATTTGTATGCATTAGATTCAAATGAAATCCTATTTTTGTCTATTCGTTGAATAAATTCACTATTACTTCACTCTAAATGTTTGCTTTTGTATCAATTTATCAAAAGATGGATTATTTTTCTGTGCGGAAAATGTTTGTTATTATGTTGTATTGTGTTTTAAAAATATTAAAATAATCATCAAAAGTAGTGCTCGAAAAACATAATATATATTAAAATTTAAACAAATATTTTTAGTATTGAGTAAAACAGGAGTTTTTCATTTGATAACTACTAATATTACTACCAATAATAATAGATGTGATTTGGTTTTTTGTCTCTACAGTACATCACAAATAGTATAGTCTACTAGTGTTTACTAAAAATCAATTGCAGATCAATAATGAAGCCGTGTATGACTGCTCTGTGCGCAGACACTCAATGCAACCTTTATTATCCATCACTCCATACCATACCATACAATACTCTACCAAACCATATGCCAAATGCTATTTTCTAATAACACTATTTGATTCAACTAATGCTTACTTTGGATTTTTCAATGTTTTTAATAATCTTTTATCACAATATTTTAGTTTTAGTTCTCATTTATAATCTAAAAAACAATTTTTGCAACAAATTATTGTGTTTAATAAATTTATATTTATTATACTATTTTTAAATTATCATTATAATTTATTAGAATGCATCTATTATTAAATTAATTCAAGATATATTAAATTATATTAAAATGAATTTAATATAATATGTTTGGTAAAAATTAACCATAAAAGTTTCAAACACAAAAAGCATTAATTCTGTTAATTTATTTTTATAGTTGTGTCTAAATTGAATGCACTTTACTTTAAATATAAGACTCGTTTTAAAGGTTTAGTCATTTTATAATTTAGGGTAAAGTATTGAAAATATGGTGAAATGATTTGCCAGAGATTGCAAACAGCTTATGATGAATGGAATTTTAAAATGGATGCAAACAACTATCAATCATCATATATAAAGATACCATACATTTATACGACCATATGATTCATGCATTGTTTGCATATAAGAACAAACCTTATTATATAATTTTGATGACCAAAGCATTTGCTGTGCCTAACAGTAACAAAATCATATTATATCAGCAATTATTTCTATGCCTTATATTTAAATGTGAAAAACTTATGTCTTATTTATTTGACATACATTTTCTTAAATTTAAAAGGCATTATGCGAACTAATTTGCATTTTATTTAATCTTGATCTATTTCATTTGAATATATAGACTTTGAATTTATTTCAACCGATAATTTATATTTAATTATATATTATATAAATTATTGAAACACTTTTATTATAGTCATTACGATATAATGTTTATTTATCAATAGTTGGCTGTTTGGCAGTGAAGTGTCATTTGAGTACAACTACCAGTGCTATCAGTGCTAACATTTGTATAAATATCATAATAAGTTAAAATAAAACTATAAACCGGCAAATATTGATTGACATAATGTATTAATAATAGTATTCATCTTATAATACGACTATATATATTGATATCGTCATAATTATAATAATATTTACAACATTACATAATGTATATAATTTAATTAATAATTATAAAATTGCTATCAATAGAGTTTAAAATCTATAAAAAAAAATAATCGATTTGAAACTAAAGTAAAGCCTATATATTAATAAATTATATAATAAATTAATACATTGTATGAAATATTTCTCAATTGTCAGTAAACATGAAAGATATGAAACACTACTTGTGTTCACTATTAGTATGT